AATCATTTTTCTTTTTTGACAAAATATTTTCAAATCAAAACATTTTAATTATAACTTGACAATTTAAGGTAAGAATTAGATTTTTGTTAATTTAATTTATATATTTTTACAATGCAAAGGTTTGAACCCAGGCCCTTGCATATGTGAGGCAAGTGTTCTACCACTGAACCATATCCACAGCCCCTTAGATTTTTATTTTTTGTATCTAAATAACACAATTTAAATGAACCCTTTTCACTATTGTAATTTGCTTGTTGGTGGAAGAAAACATGGTTTGCCACTGAACTGCTAGATTTGGTTTTCTCCTAAGTACTTGCCAGCATCACTTACTCTGGTTGCCTCTCATTTTCCTTAAATGGAGAGATTGGATATGGTTGGTAACTAAATAAAAGTTTGAAATTATGTGCTGAAAGAAATCAGTTGCATATAAACTGATGAGGAAGGAAAGAGCAAATGAGTAGAGAATTTCAGATTATCTATAGACTTTCATTAAAGAGCTCCTTTTTTAACAGCTTGACTAGATATAATTCACATAAAGTTTACCCATTTAAAGCGTAATTCAGTAGTTTTTAGTATATTTACAGAGTTATGCAACCATTACCATAATCTAATTTTAGATTAGATTATGACATAATTGATTATGTCTCTTTCTCCATTCTAGACTTTTGGTATGAATGGAATCATGTAATATGTAGGCATTAGAACAACTAAATATATATGTGAGAAAAAATGAATTTTGACCCTATCTCAAGCCATATGTAATATGGATCATTGACCTAAACATAACAATTAAAAATATATACATAGAAGCAATCACAGATGAAAATCTTGGGTAAATGTTTTTCTTTGAACAGGATGCAAAAAAGAATAATCATAAAAGAAAAAACTGACATTACTTTTCATCAAGAAATTTTGCTCACATGAGAAACTATAAGAGAATAAGTAGGCAGACTATATAATGGGAGATAATATTTGCAAAATATATCTCAGTCAAAGGACAGATGTCCAAAATGTATAAAGAATATAATATGTGAAGACTTTCAATAAATCTGTAATAAAAAGGTATAAAACACAATTTAAAAATTGGCAAAGATATGAACAACAAAAGATGTACAAATAGCCTTAATATGCACATTAAAGTGTTCAATATCATTAATCATCCAGGAAGTGCAAACTAAACTGAGATGGTACTATATTTCTACCAGATTGGCTAAATTAATAGACTGACAACATCAAATTTTGGTGAAAACATAAAGCAACCATAAGTCTCCTACATTGCGGGTTAGAGTGTAAAATGATATTATCACTCTGGAGAAAGTGGGATATCTGTGGATATTGCCTTTCATTTGTCTTGGGTGAATACCAGGGAGTGAAAATGCAGGGTATATGATGAGCATTTCCACTCCTGTGTATTTACCCAAGAGAAATGAAAGACAATATCCATAAAGAGACTTAAGAATGTTTATGACAGCTTTATCCATAATAGCCAAAACTTGCAAACATCCCATGTATCAACAGAAAAAAATGAATAAACACACTGTTATAAGTTCACACCCATTTATAGGTTTACACTTGTCAATATGAAAGAACAGACTACTGGGTGAATTTTGAAAACATTATACTGAGTGAAAACTTGACTCAAAAGAATTCTCAGTTAATATATTTACATACAATTCTATGGTGAAAATAATTAGGACAGTGGTTTCTTCTAGAATAGGGGAAGGAATTGCCTAGGAAAGGTCATGAAAGAATTCTCCCATGATAATGTTATGTATCTTCATGAGGGATGGGTCACACAGGTGTGTGTATTTGTCAAAGCTCACTGAATTTAGTACTTAAGAGTTGTGCACTTTATGTGTGAGTTTTACTTGTAGCCTTTCAAAAGTGCAGCAGGAGAAAGACTGGAACTAAATTATTAGTCAGATGCTTAAAATTTCATCAGTTAAAGATTCCTGCTTCGAAGTTCTGGAGAAAAGAGAACCTTTACCAGGTGTTGGTAGAATGTAAATTAGTATAGCCATTATAGAAAACAGTATGGTGGTTCCTCAAAAAATTAAATATGGAACTACTGTATGATCTGGCAATCCCATTACTGGGTATATATCTAAAAGAAATGAAATCAGTCTATCTATCAGATATCTGTACATCCATGTTTTTGTAGCACTATTCAGAATAGTCAAGAAATGGAGACAACCCAAGTGTTCATCAGCTGACAAAAGGATAAAGAAAATGTGGTACATATACACAATGGAATTTGCAGCAACAAGGATGGAAATGGAGATTATTAAAATAATTAAAATAAGCCAGGCATAGAAAAACAAGTACCACATGATCTCACTCATGGGTGGAATCTAAAAAAAAATGTATCTGATAGAAGTCAAGAGTAGAATTGTTACCAGCAGTTAGAAAGAGTAGAGAGAAGGGTAGGATGGGGAAAAATAGATTAATGGGTATTAAGATGCAGTTAGTTAGAAGGAAGAAATTCTGGTGTTCTGTTGCATAGTAGGGTGACAGCTGAGAATGATAATTTGCTATTTATTTTTTTTAAAGCTAAAGAGGATTTTCAATGCCTTCATCATAAAGAAATGATAAGCTGGATATGATGGGACATACCTGTAATCTCAGCAATGCAGCAGGCTGAGGCAGGAGGATGGCAAGTTCAAGGCCAGCCTCAGCAACTTAATGAGGCCCTAAGCAAATTAGTGAGACCCTGTCTCAAAAATAAAGAGATCTGGGATATGGCTCAGTAGTTAAGCACCCCTGGCTTCAAGGATAAAAGTTTGATAGATTTACCCTGATTTGAACATATACAATGTATAAATGTATTGAAACATCACGTTACTCCCTAAATATGTACAATTTCTATGTATTAGTTAAAAATAAAAGTTAAAAAGTCTAGAAATAAGTCTAATAATGAAAAGCAGAGCAGTAGTTTTCTGTGAATAGAGGGAAGAACAGAGAGAATAGATAAGAAGTTTTAGTTAGGTGATAGAGGAATTCATTTTCTTGCTTGTGGTGATAGCTTCTTGGGTATCTATACACCTTAAATAAGTACAATTTATTGTATGTATTTATTATATGTCATTATACCTTAATAAAGGTGTTTAAAAAAACAAAACAAAAAAGATATTTCTGTGTTTCCAAATTTTCCCTGTAAGGAATCACCTAGGGCATTTATTAAATTTTAGACTTCTCCCTTTGAGATTGGATTCACTGAGTCTGGAAGGAGCTGAGAATTCGTATTTTAAAACAAGTACAGTTGTCCTTGGATATCTATGGGGGATTGGTTCCAGGATCCTTCTTGGATACTAAAAGCTGAGGATGCTCAACTCACTCATTAAATACTGTAGGATTTTCATATAACTAGCACTCATGTATTTATCTATAAAATAAATATATATTTACATATAATAAATCTATATTTATACTTAAATAGATATATGTGTATATGTTTATTTAGATATGCTGGGGGCTGTTATTCCTTGTGCATGCTAGGCAAACTTATACTGAGGAGCTGCACCCCTAGCTGCTCCTCCTTTAAAGCATCTCTACACTACTTACAATATTCAATATCACTCCTTCCAGGTGCCATGTAAATGCTATGTAAATAGTTGTTTATTGTTTAGGGAATCATAAAAAAAGTGTGCACATATTTAGTACTGATGAAGGTTTTGTCCCAAATAATTTTGATCCATGGTGGATGAATCCATAGATGTGAAATCCAGGGATACAGAGGGTCAACTCTACCTATAGGTAATACTTAATCATCCAGAATGTTTGGGAAACATTGCCCTAAAGTAGAATTAATTTTCTCAGACTTTTTTGTACTGGGAGGGAGAGAAAGATGGAAAGGGAGACAGCCAGGGGAGAAAGGAAGAAGGAAAATTGCCCAAGGAACTTGTTGAAAATGAAAACCTCTGGGTCCTCCCAAACCTTCTCATTTGTCAAGTCTGGGATAAAGGCCATAAATAAACACACACTCAGTGTGTGTGTGTGTGTGTGTGTGTGTGTGTGTGTAGTATACACACATATATAGTATATATGTGTATATATTGAGAAAGAGAGAGTGTGTACATACAGTGGATAGGTCTGAGGGCTGTTTTCTAGTGTCATTGCCTTGAAGGAAGGTCCATGGGTAAGTTTTGTCACTTTTACAGGTGAGAAGGTAAAAATAGGAAATGAAGATAATTTTAGAATTTTAGAATTAAGAACATACATGGAGGATTTTAGGTAAACTACAGGCAGTGCACCTGCATAAGAGTAGAGGGAATCTCCTCCCAGGTGCCATATATTGACTGTCAGACAATCAGCTTTGTGGGGTGGAGTATGGGTAACCCATTAGAAAGGACTTTTTTTTTTTTGGTACTGGGGATTGAACCCAGAAGCATTTTACCACTGAGCTAAATCCCAGCCCTCTTTTTTGGGAGGACAGGGGATGGGTGGGTACCAGGAATTGAATTCAAGGGCACTCAACCACTGAGCCACAACCCCAGCCGTATTTTGTATTTTATTTAGAGACAGGGTCTCACTTAGTTGCTTAGCCTCTTGCTATTGCTGAAGCTGGCTTTGAACTCCTGATTCTCCTGCCTCAGCCTCAAAAATTAAAAATAGATTTAAGGCAAGATTACAGGATTACAGGCAAGAGACACCATGCCCGGCAAATCTCTAGCCCTCTTTATTTATTTATTTTTAAAATTTAGAGACAGTGTCTGGCTAAGTTGCTTAGGGTCTCACTAAGTTGCTGAGGTTGGCCTCAAGTTTGTGATCCTCCTTCTTCAGCCTCTCAAGGTACCAGTATTATAGGTGTGCCCCATTGCACGTGGCTAGAAAAGGACTTTTGAGAGCAAAGGCATTCATTTACTTCTAGGTGGTAGGGAGAATTCAGGATATCCCACATGTCACAAAAACATCTGCATGCCATTGGTTGCCAGCCCTTGTCCCATGTGCTGCTACTGAATACCTAGAGACCATAAACACCAACTGGTTTTTCTCTTTTGTAGAAAGAAGAAAACATAATCTATAGACCATCTTCTGGCAAAACATGATAGATTTGGATCAGAAACGGGAGGTATTGGAAGCCAGGAGTCAAAAGTAAAGAAACTCTGCAAGACCTTGGGTGGAAGAGGTAACAGAGATTGCATGCTTATTAATTAATTAATTAATTATTATTATTATTATTATTATTATTATTATTATTCAGTTACCTGATATGAGTGTTCTAGGCCCATTAATTGTAGAGAGAAGGTAGAGTAGGCGAATAGGAGTGAATTGCTGGAAATGGGTCTCAACCACACATTTCTCTGTGGTGTGCTTCAGTCAGTACTTTCTGACAGCCTCTTGCCTGCATTCTTTTTACTTATTTCCCAGGACCCTTCCCCTCCTTTCTGTGGCTGGAGCTTACCCTGAAATACCTCATTAATAATCATAGCTCACATTTATCAAATTGTTATTACTGTCAGGTACCATAGTGTTGTGCTCTCTTTACATTCATTCCATTTTCAAAATAACCCAATAACATAGACAAAATATTTGAGATTTCAAGTGGTTAGACAACTTGCCTAAGACCTGATAGCTAGGAAATAGCAGAACCAGATTTTAAACTTATGTTTTCTGACTTCATACTGCATACTTGCTGTCTTCTTTCCTCTTTCAGAGGAAAAAGGGCAAGCCACACTAGCACTTCTTCCAGTATACCAGAACATGTACCCCAACTTGGTGGACCTCTTTTGGAAGGTGTTCAGTTCCTATAATTTAAAAGCATTAAAATTTTTGTTATGAAGTTTTTGACAATCAGAGAAGAGAAAAAAAAGCATTGCTGACCTTTTATAACTATAATTAATAATGTTTCTACTTCCAGGATTTCCCTATATATATGTCCATATTTCCCTATGGTAACATGTTCTTTATTAGTATCCTGATATTTTAAATATCAATAAGCTTTTTATGCCTAGATTTTAATGACTCTCAAATGATAACATGAGACTTCTAGCAGCTTAAAGTTCAGCTAATGAATAAATCCTTGCTTCCATGTAAGGAATATTACATTTGTTCACTTGTCACTTCTGTTTTTTGTTTTTTGTTCTTTTCTGTATTCAGAGAGGGGGATTACTGTTCTAGTGGAATTTATTTATTTATTTTTAATTTTGTGGTGCTGGGGATTAGAACCCAGGGCCTTGTGTATGCAAAGCAAGCACTCTACCAACTGAGCTATATCCCCAGCCCCTAGTGCAAATTTTGTATTACATTTCAGTTTCATGAACAAAGAATGTACTTTTCCAGCTTAAGAATGTTTGACCTGTCTTTCCAGATATTGTTAAAATTCACATCTCCTTTGGGCTTTTCTTGGTTTCCAAGCCCACAATGGTATTTTTCTACTCCAGTCTTCTCAAGCACTTTCTGGTTATACTTCACATTTGATATTCACTATGTTTTACATCTGCTAGTCATAATATTTTGTACTATTATACTCGTTCCATTCACAATACCTAATACAGTGCTTTAATGTCGGTTTTTTAAGCATTTTTATGTTCAAATCAAATTATCATTGATCAATTTCTCCAAGGTTTTAGAATGACTAACATTCTGGTGTATCTTTCTATCCCTTTATAGGTTCCTATCACTGTCACCATGCCAGAAATGACAGAGCATGAAACTCCTACAAAAAAGCAGCATAGGTATGTCCACAGACCAAAAATAATATAGTGCAGACTTAAGAAGCAGAATTAGATCCCATTTTGCTAAGTAGGTAGTCCTTAATGAACTTTTATTATTCAGGCTAGAAAATAATCTCCGAAAGTACATGTAGATTAAATATAGATTTACTAAAAGTGGTATATGTTTAAAATTTACCTGTCTTCCTTATTGTACCAAAAATGTAACAAGTAATCATAACCATCAATAGTTAAAATAATATATCAAATCTATGCTAAATGTTTAGTTTCTAGTGACATTTTTACCAACATACAGTATGAATTTTTGTAGATCCCAAAACATTTAGGTCACAGTCAGTTTGAATACATATTTTGCAACATTGTGAAATATTAATGCCAATATGCCTACATAATATGACTTTTGTTTTTGTATAACCCCTTTTCTGAATTTGTAGCATTTTGGGCAATATCTGCTTAGAATTGCATGGCCTGCGCTTTTATTAGTATTGAAGTCACTGTTCTCTTTCTTTGCTGCATAGCTATTTAAAGATAATAATGTATTGAGAAATGATGTATAACAGGGAAAAATCAATGTCTTTAATAGATGGACTTTTAAGAAATTTAAGAGTTTGGACAACCTACTAAGTAAATGCAAAAGATGACTCAAATGTCAATTGTCAGTGCCTAAGTGTGCTGTCACCTACCACATTTCCCTACCTGTGAATTAAAAAGCTACTCTCTACTGTTGCTCATCGCTCACACATTCACTCTTGCCTAGGTTGCCAAGGCAGACATCAGAAGTCACCTATGAGACACATCACTTGAGATTTTACTAGCAACTTAATTACATGTTTCAAATAGTTATGGTCTTCAGTGATTGATTCTATTCTCAACCCATGACTTCTGAGTATCAAAGATTAGAGAATTGTAGTTATAGAAATGGTGCCTTCTGAATTTATATGGAGGTATCTTTAGTTATGTTTTTATACCATAATATATTAAGAAAAGTTTTCTTCAGATGGCTTATTATTGATGCTGAAAATACAAATTTGTAAAACTTATTTTATGGTTCTCAAAATATAAAGTGGTAAAAGTGCTTTCCAGTTATCTTCATGTTACCTTTTATCTATACTTTTTGTTTCAGAAAGAAAAACCGGGAAACACACAATGCAGGTAGATACAGTAATTTAAATTTTACTTGTTAGCATTTTTTGTTTTTAAAATGAAATTATAGCATAGTTGATTGTTAAGTTTTTATGTTATAAGCATAGAACCATTATTTATTGTATTATAAGAAAATGTACCTTTATTGTTTTTAATTGACAAAATATTCTCTGGGCTGGGGATATAGTTCAGTTGGTAGAGTGCTTGTCTCACATGCACAAGGCCCTGGGTTCAATCACCAACATCACCAAAAAAAAAAAAAAAAAAAAAAAAAAAATTCTGAGTCTCATGGATAATGATATTTTGATTTGTAGTCTATTTGGATAAATTAAGAGATTAGTATATTCCTGGAGTTAGTGTTTGAGGGGATTTCACCCACCAAAGAAATCCAGATACACTTCTCAGTAGAATGAAGGTTATGTGCCTGTCTGAATAAATTCCAGAGGGGACAGCTATCTAGAGGGGTAAGGAAGAGATGAGCAGTGGACTACAGGTCTTAAAGGGACTTATATGTGAATAGTCTTAAGTTGTATAGTCTTCATTTATAGAAAGAAATGTAGAAAATAAATATTTGATTTTTATCTCAAACATCAAAAGTATAGACCAAAGCTAGATAAACATATATAGAATTGTGCATACATTTTCAGTTTGGCACATTGTATGCCACTTTATTTTCCATCAGGAACTTCATTCAGACAAAAAAAAAATGTTATAATGCACACATATATTATTATGAATACTTTTACATATAAGTTGATTTCTATTACTCTATAAATAATATCTTTCCTTAAGGAAAGGACCTTTGAGAAATTTTTATCTATGGAAACATGTCTTAAAAACTGGTGGGATTGTTTTCCATAATAAATAGATTAATGCCTTTGAAACCCCAAATATTACTATAGGCAAAGAGTCTTAATATTGGGTTTAATTTTTTTTAACTCCACACATTTAAAAAAATCTGCTCTTAGATACCAAGAAATATTATTATTGGAGAATTCAGAAGAAAGGTAGGCTCTAATTTATTGCTTTGGATTTCTGGGATGTATGAATTCTTATTTGGCCATATGAACTAAATTTTTTCATTAGGATCAACTCTCTTATGGTGCCATAAATATGTCCTGACTGTGCCTTATTAAGAGAGGGTAATTAAATATCATTAAATAGACTATTCTTAGTGCTAGATCATGAAGCAAAAAATATATACATTTTGTAAAACAAGTTCTTCTCAGGGGATAATCTGAAAAAGATGTCTTAGAAGTCTGCTATCCTTTGTTAGAAAGGAAAGATTTTAGAAAACTTCCCAATATAAAATGTCTAAGAGTAGTATTTCTACTTACAGTGCCTTATAGAAATTAGATAATCTCTGTATCCTTTGCCCCTTTTAAAGTTATAGTGTGGAAGTCTGGAATATTTTGCAGTTAATTGAGAAGTTGTCAGTTGCCTGGTTTTTAGATAGAAAGATTCTGCATGACCAGAGTAGACAGCCCATACTCCAGAGAGAAAAAAAAGCCAGTGCCTTTTGCTTTCTGTTTTAAGTCATCACTAATAGCTGTTTCTATTCCAAAAGGGCCATCTGTTCACCCAAAAGGTGTTTTCAGGTTCTTTAACCTGTGTAGAAAGGTCTGATTTTATAAAAAGGCAGTTTTCTGATAACTTAGGTTGCTAATGGTTATCATTAAAATCTCTTAGTTACTTGAACTGTAATAAATGATTTATAATAATATAACACAGTATTAATCATTCCTATTTTTTATAATTTGAATGTAATTATTATAGATGATTTTCTTTCTTTCTTGCATGATATTAGGGATCAAACCCAGATATGCATGCTAGGCAAGTGCTCTACCACTGAGCTACATCCCCAGTCCATAGATGATATTTTTTAAAATGCTAGTAAATTTATTGCTTATATTGATTTTATAACATTATATCTAAAGTATTGCATTGTTAGAAATCTGATTTGCTTATTATGGTTATTTGTCTTCAGTAGTAATGTTTGATAAACATTTCTAATGGATTTCTTTACCTAAAATTTCTTTGCCCAGGGAAAATTGGGCACTTCAACAGAGTAATATAAGGTTTGACATATGGATTTTTCCCTTAATCTAGTGGAGAGGCATAGAAAGAAGAAAATTAATGCTGGGATTAACAGAATAGGCGAGCTGATCCCATGTTCCCCAGCTCTGAAGCAGGTAAGAATCCACTCATATTTTCATTCATTGCTTATGAACAGAGAGTTCCCTAAATTTTTTCAATACTTAGAATAATTATTTTTGTGACCTGCCATTTATGGGAGTCTTTTGAAGTTCATAATTGCCTCATTTTTCATTTGCTTCATTTTTTATATACCTAGCATTAGTTTTCCCCACATTTCTAACAATGTCAGTACAACTTTCTACATGGTCAAATGTACCATACAATGTCTAGATCCTTTTAATAACAGTCTCATGATTATGTTTATATACTCTGCTTATAAGGTCTATAACCTTTTGTTTTCTGCCAATTCATGTGTTTTACTCTTTTTAAATTCTTACCTAGAATCTTCCAAGTATCTCTTTATTTATTCTCCATGCCCTATCAATTCCCAATAGTACTTAAAAATCTCAGCTTTCAGTTTTCCCTCATGGAAGATAGCTTTTAGTTTCTTCTGATAATAAGGATAAAATATGCTCATTGAAAACAAAACAAACAATTGAAATGATATTGAAAGCAAAAAAAATTTTTTTTAAAAATTGGTATCCCACTCCCAAGTTATAATTACTAATAAAATATTGTTGCATGTCTCTCCAGACATTGCTTTCTAAGAATATATGTGTATCTATCCAGCACTGTTTCTTTTTTTGTTGTTTGTTTGTCCTTCTTTTTAATGGTGCTGGGGATCAAACCCGGGGCCTCACACTTGCTACTCAAGCATTCTACCACTAAGAGATATTCCCTGTCTTTCAGTTCTTTCATAATCTGCTTTATTACCTTCACTCATTACACAGTAAAATTTTGGTTTTAGATACCTCTTCTCTTATGATCTACTTTCCTTTTAATTTTAATAATAGGATATCATAATTAGTAGTAGCTTTTTGTTAATTAATTTTAATTAAATTCTTTAGACAAAGAATAATATATGCACATAGCAAATAGCACTAAAAAGCTTAAAACAAACATTAATCTCGTACCTGCATCCCAATCCGAACACAGCTCCTCAGAGCAAACATTCTCAACTGTTCCTCCTTGTGAAATGTACTACTGTGTTCTATTCTTTCTTTTCCTTCTCTTTCTTTCTTTTTTTCTTTCAGTACTGGGAGATGAAACCAGAGATTCTCCACCACTGGGCTACCCCTCCGTACTTTCTTATTTTTATTTTGAGACAGGATCTTGCTAAGTCACTAAGGCTGACCTCAAGTTTGTGTCCTCCAGCTTCAACCTCCCAACTCACTGGAATTGTAGACATATGCCATCATACCTTGCTTACTGTTATATTTCAAAATAACATACTTACATTTCTATATCTTAACTTTTCCATTTTAGATATTATCTATCAAAATCCTATTGGAGTTGTGGCTCATTGGTAGAGCGCTTGCCTAGCATGTGTGAGGTACTGGGTTCAGTTCTCAGCACATATTTATATAAACAAAATAAAAGTCCATTGACAATTAAAAAATATTTTTAAAAAATTCTATTGTGCTTTTCCCCTGACTTTCCCATATAATTCTGATTAAAATTGATATTCAGTTTTTATATTTTTTATATTATTAAGAATATGTAACTATTGTTTGTGGTTGACCCAAGGAGTATATTATTATTATGTTTCATTTCATATGTAACTCATAGTTTTTCATTTGCTTAAATTTCTATATATTTGTCTTTAATTCTTTCCATCCTTCCAATAGGCTCTTCATAGTTTTCTGGATGGTCAAGTTTACCACATAATTTCCATTTTCCATTTCCTTCCTTTGAAAGTTTATTTCTGAAACCTTCTGTCTTCCTTTTTCAATCTCAACTAATTGATCTCTTCCAACTCTCCTGTTTAATACCATATGTTAATTATGTGGATTTGATAACATCTAATCTAATTGAATGTTTTCTAGGATTTTTTCTGAAGTTTTCTGATTTCTTCCCCCCTTTTGTTGGATGTTTTATCTTTCTTTTTGGAGGCTTTTCTTAAAGCTTAGTGACAGGTAGCTATTTTTTTTTTCTGACTTGAGGATAGGCATTTAAAAAGCTGATCTAATAAATAGGCTTGTCATTTGGTGTCCCTGACTATTGCATGATTAGATGGTGTACTAGTAGTTTTTTTGTTGTGGTCGTGGTAGAACTAAAAAAAAAAAAAAAAAAAAATCTGAGGGATAAATACTAATTTTCCCCCCTGAGAAGGAATCTGTTAGTCTCTTACCTGGGAGTGGAAATGGTGGGAGAGGAGTATGAGTTTGTTTGGTAATATTTCGAATTTGGGGTCAAGGATGGTGGGGATAGAAAGTGTCATTCTTTGGTAGGGAGAATTTTACTTTACCCTGTTTTCACTTGGGAGCCTCATCGTGTCCACTTTTGTGCCAAGTATCTCTGAGGTTAAAATTCTCTGGTTCAGATTTCACAGAAAGTAAACTTGTTTCTTGTGGTTGGGGCAAGAAGGGGGAAGTCATCCAGCTGCATAGGATATATGCATGGGGAAGTGGTTCCTATTACTGCTTTATTAAGAGCCTTTCAACAAGTCCTCTCGGTCAAGTCCCTGTACCTTGCCCCACCTTCTGTAGCAACTGGTGCTTCTCAGTATTGAAACTTCCTAGGAATTTAGAAGACAAAATCAACTTGCGGCTCAATAGTATCCCCCTTGGCAAGAATGTAGACTTCAGTTTCCTTTCATTCTCCCCTACAGAGTGGATTTAGACTTCCACAAATGTGTTTTTTAAGTCTTCTAAAAATGTATTCTTTCTTTAACACAATGGCAAACTATGTCTTCTGATTTTTCTTTCTCCGAATTTTAATGTATAATAGGTGTGCTCACTAAATATTGGAAGTTGCTCAGCAAAATTATATTTTCACGCTTTGGGCTTTCATGAGTTTCTCTGAAGAAAGGAAAACATACCATTTCTCTTCCTTGGTGTCCTAGAATGTGCAAAGAAAGTCAGTATTTGGCTCCCAGAAGAAGAGTAGCCTAAAGTTTTTCTTGAGCATTGCTGCCAGCTCTGCCTGCTATCTCTAGTAAAGGGTCAGGTGCCTGGGTATTTATCAGGTTCTACCTTGGTTCATATTCTTATTTCAAGAAAGGACAATATTAGTTTTCTCTTCTAAAATAGTTTCCTTGGTTTATATTACTGAGTCTCTACTGGGACTTAGTATGAAGAACACAGAATTGAAGTTTGTTGAAGCAAAGCACTAAATTACAGTGATTCATACATGAAAAAAGCAATCCATAGGTAATATGTATGCTGGAGGAAAAGTTAAATATTTACTGCCACATTGTTCAGTAGCCAAAGAAGGAAATCAGAAATGGCTCTTAGGTAACTTAAATGTTTATCAGGAATAGACTGCTAAGTAAAATAAATACAGCCATTAGAAAGAATAAGATAGACTTCTAAGTTCCTCATGATGATATGTAGAAGATATATCTTTAAATTTTAAAAAGTACACTGTACTGTTTATAGCATTCTTTGATCTGGATTTTTAAAAAAGATATATATCTGAGCTAGGCACGGTGGCACATGCCTATAATCCCAGTAACTTGGGAGGCTAAGTCAGGAGATCACAAGTTCAAAGCCAGCCCCAACAATTTAGCAAGGTCCTAAGCAACTTAGCAAGGCCCTGTCTTAAGATAAAAAATAAAAAGGTCTGGGGATGTAACTTAGTGGTTAAACACCCCTGGGTTGATTCCTGGTACAAAATTTTTTAAAAATATATATACATGTACATATTGGTATAGCATATTTATGGAAGGATATACAAGTAAGTTTATAGTTATTACCTCTGGAACAGGGTGTGGAGAGCTAAAACACAAAGGAATGTTACTTTTGATGCCTATTCCTTCATATATTTACTTTTTTGCCAAGTGACTATTATGTTTCAGTTTTTAAAATTATCAATTAAGAATAAAGGAGCACTTTGACATAAAGCACAATCTTTTTGAAAAGCTTAGGAATGGAATATACTAGGAATATGACACCAGAACTCAATCAAGTGATGTTTCTTTCTCACCCTGTTACTTTGGATCATTTATAACTGCGGCTAACAGTAGAGAATAACATTAAGGTCTGAAATATTTAAATGGTCCTGAAGGCTCTCTCTGGCCTTTTCTTCTACCACTCTTCCTGATGTGTAGGATTCTCACTCTACTTACCTCCTTGCTGTTGTAGCCTTGCCCAGCCCAGCCCTGCCTGAGAACCTTTTGCCTTCTGACCTCATACCTGGGCCCTCTTCCTCCAGATGTCTACAGAGTGTGCTTTTTACTTCCAGGTTTTTGCTTAAGTATCACTAAACAGGGTGGCCTTCCCAGAGAGTATCTTAATTCAGCCTGCTGTAACAAAAACACCATGGACTGAGTGACTTAAACAACAAAGATTTATTTCTCATAATTCTGGAAGCTGGGAAGTCCAAAATCCATATTTGATTCCTGGTTGTGTCCTCACATGGAGGAAAAGGAGAAATCATCTCTCCCTCTCTTCTTATAAGGTCCCTAAACCCATTCATGAGTAACCGAATACCCTCTCAAAGGTCCCACCTCCTGATACCATTCCATTAGGGATTAGGACGTCAATCTATGAATTTGGTGGGAAGACACAAACATTCAGTGAACAGCACAGAGTAACTTCCACCATCAATTTAACCCCCTCCCTGGGACCCTGCTTTTTTATTTTGTATGTGTGTGTAATCTTGTCATCACCTAATTATTTTGCATATGTATTTATATTCTTCAAGGACAGGTGCTTTGTTTTATTACTGTATCCCAGTGCCTCAAATACAGAGCTTGACACATAGTAAAAGTCCAATAGAGGGCTGGGGATGTAGTTCATTGGTAGAGTGTGTGCCTAATAAGGCTCAAGTTCAACCCCCAGTACCAAAAAGAAAAGAAAGACAAAGCCTGATAGATATTTAGTAGAAGTGTTTGAATATGGTGCCTGCTTTAAATTTTGAAATGTTACATAACACATGTGAGATGAAGCCAGAGATTTCAGTTTCTTCTGGAAAGTTTTTACCCTTCAGTGAAGTTTTAAATCATTAATTTTCTTTGATAGAGCAAGAATATGATCCTGGACCAAGCCTTTAAATACATAACAGAATTGAAAAGGCAAAATGATGAACTCCTGCTTAATGGCGGAAACAATGAACAAGGTAACAACTTTGAGAGTCTTACTTTATGATTTTTGTTAAATGCTTAGATCTTTGTGTTATAGTGAAATTTATATAGATATAGAAGGGTTCCCTGCCCCACTACCCCCACCCCCCGCCAAAATCCCCAATAACAAAATCAAATCAACAAACAAAAGCATTATTAAGACCTTGCACTCAAGGGGTCTAGGAGAATAATATTTCAAATAAAGTCACTTTAATTCTGCTGTCTCCTCCGGGAACAACTGTAATCTTATGTGTATACATGGTTTTGATTTTAGACTCTTCCGTGGACTTCATGTTTGCCTCACTCATGATACTAATAATACTAAATCTCCTTTATCCCAGTTGGATCTTGTAGCTAGGGGATTCCCATAAGAGGATGTGGGGAGGAGTTCTGCTCTGTGTGACTTACTAACAGGATAGGATAGGCCTGTGCCAAATCTTAACTGCATTAACTCAAAAGGTCAAAACATTCATTCATAATTGTTTGTGTGGATGTAATATATGCATCCAGCTGTCTGATCATTTAATAATATTTGATTTTTAGATAGAAATGACTTTTTTTTATGCTGTCAATGAGTTTTACCACTTTTAGAGAGAAGCCAAAAACAATAATATCCCAGGCAAGTGTAAAGCTCAGGGTGATAGGACAGTTTGAATTGTTCTTTATTTATGGCTCTGATAAGAGCAGAGAATATTCTGTGACAGGTCAGTCAGCCACCTTAAAAGGAGAGAAACAAGGCAGAATTTGCTGGGCTGTTTATTACAACACATGGGAAGGATATTTGAAAGTATATCCAGGATGTCAGATTTTGGAATTCTCTTTGTTAGCTTTTAGTGAAATAACAATTTATCCCCCTCCTAGGTCAACTGTCTTTTATGGTCTAGGCTGTTTTGTGTGATGCTGCCAGAGAGTTAGATACAATAATCTGTGTTCCATTATGAGGTACCTCACAAAAGGAACAGGAAGTCAGAATGATATGTAGACTCTTTTAGAGAAGGCTCCTTTCATTTCAAAGCATGGAGGCTGAGGCATTCATGTTACCTTAGGGAAAAGGGAAGCTGTTGAAAAAATACAGGTGCATGGGACTCAGGAAAAGCCAAATATCCAGGCTAGGGTTTAGGGGTAGCACAGAAATGACTGAGTCATCATTTCTATCACTATTATTTTTCTGGTTCTTTTTGTGCTTCTGCTTTATGCCTCCCCCCCCTCCCCCCAGCGACTGCTTTTTTTTTTTAGTTGTTTTTTATTTATTTTTATGTGGTGCTGAGGATTGAGCCCAGTGCCTCACATATGCCAGGCAATTGCTCTACCACTGAGCTACAACCCCAGCCCCTGGTGGCTGCTTCTTTATACTCATCATTCACATGATACTCCAGCACAGTGGTCAAAGCAACGCCTTGGAGCCAGGCCCACTTGGGTTGTAGTCTCACCTTTGTTCTCTCACTTAGTACCTTTTGGCCAGTTATTTAATCTCCCCAAATTTCAGTTTCCCTATTGTTTTTATTCTTCCCCCTTCCCCCACCCAGTATTAGGGATTGAACACAGGGCCTTGTGCATACTAGACAAGGACTCTACCCCTGAGCTACATTCCCAGCCCCTTTTATTTTATTTTTGAGATAGGGTTTTACCAAGTTACCCAGTCTGGCCTTGAACTTGATCCTTCTACCTCAGCTTCTCAAATAGCTGGGATTACAGGTATCTTAAAATGAGGATAATCAGAGTATCTACATGGATGATTTTAGGCAAATTTGATAATTACTCTGAACCTATTTCTTTTATCTAAAATGGTAATAATAATAATCGGTAGTTCTCATTTTATAGTTTTTATGAGAATTAAAAGAGAGAATAGAGGTAAAGCATTTAGACTAAAGCCTCACACATAGTAAATGCTTGGTAAATATTAGCTGTTATCATTGGTGTGGTTATTATTAAGTGAGACAATGAATGAAAAGTGCCAGGCAGTAAATGTGTAATAAGTAAAAGCAAAGATTCTTATTATTTGGTTCATAATAGCTATCTTTTAATTCCCACTTCCCTTTCTTTAGCAGTATTGGTGGAGATTAAACTCAGGGACACTCTACTATTGAGCTACATCCCCAAATCTTTTATTTTTTAATTTTATTTTTTGTAGTTGTAGATGGACAGAATGCCTTTATTTTATTTTATTTTTTATTATTTTTATGTGGTGCTGAGGATCAAACCCAGTGCCTCATGCTTGCTAAGCAAGTGCTCTGCCACTGAGCTACAAACCCCAGCCTGTATTTTTAATTTTGAGATAGGGTCTCACTAAGTTGCTAAAACTGGCCTCAAATTTGTGATCCTCTTGCCTCAGAGCTCTTGAGTCCCTGGGATTACAGGCACATGCCACTATGCCAAACAATTATCCTTTAAGATTCTAATATTTGTCTCGTAGTTTAAGTACCTGACAAATATGATCTGCCAATCTCAGGTCATCCTTGTTGAAATAAAACTCTTCATTTTAGGCTACATCCTAGAACATGAGTCTTGTGGGGCAAGGATAAGAATACCTACCACTATGACAAGGCAGATGGGGATGTATCAGGCAAAGGAGTCAAGAGTATAAATACCATCAACCAATGCTGCCCCTGTAGGACCTGTGGGTAAAGCTGTCTCTCTTATAAAGGAGAGGGGTATAGCAGGTGTCTTCACTGCTCAGCAGTGCACCTGCCTTGGCCCTACCAAGGAAAATGCAGGTTCCATTGCTGGTACTCTCTTTGATACTCTACCACTCTACTTCTGATATGTTCTCGTTCCCACTTCAGTCACCATTGTTTGTTTCAGAGGGTAAAATGAAAGCTCAAACCATTTATAAGGACCTATTTGGTACTACCGCAAGTCATGTTAGTTATTGCAGCATTTAAATGGTATTATAGGCATTTTCAGTGTAAGTTTCCTACCATGTTATCATTATATCAATAAGTCTTCCTTTGCTTTACTTGCATAGCTACTCTATTGGAAATTTTCCAATTGAGAATTTTGAGATTTCTGCCTTATAAGTTATTTTCCAGTGGTTGGCCTTTAAAGATAGATACTTTTAAAAGAATGGGATAGGAGCTTGAGTACCATTCTAAAGAGAAGAAAGAACTTGTATTAGCAAAGAGCTAAGAATTCTCAGTTGAGGTTTCTAGAATGCTAGCATTAGAATTCAGTAGTTTAGTATACAGTTCTTTCTCAAGTTATTGTAAAAACTAACATTCACTAGTAATTTTTAATTTTTATTTTTAAAATTATAGCTGAAGAAATTAAAAAATTACGGAAACAACTAGAAGAAATCCAAAAAGAAAATGGCCGATATATTGAATTACTGAAAGCAAATGATATATGCTTGTACGATGACCCCACAATCCACTGGAAAGGAAATCTTAAAAACTCAAAGGTGTCTGTTGTTATTCCAAGTGACCAAGTTCAAAAAAATATCATTGTTTATTCCAATGGGAGTCAGCCTGGTGGAAACAGCCAGGGGACAGCTGTTCAGGGGATAACTTTTAATGTCAGTCATAATTTACAAAAGCAAACCGCCAATGTGGTGCCGGTGCAGAGGACTTGCAATCTTGTGACTCCTGTGTCTATTTCTGGAGTTTACCCTTCTGAAAACAAGCCGTGGCATCAGACCACAGTTTCTGCACTGGCTGCCAACCAGCCTGTTCCTCTTTGTCTTCCTGCTACCATTTCTGCTCAAAATATTCTTGAGCTTTCCACCTCTGAAAGTGAATCAAGTGTGCTTGGTGCCACTGGAAGCTCACTAATTGCTGTTTCAGTTGGGTCTGAGCCTCACCAACATCGGTCTTTGCACACAGGTCTAAATGATCAAAATTCTTCTGAAACTAATAATGGGCAAGAGAGCCCTAAATTATTAAAGAGGACAGCCCCTTGTGTTACAAGTGTCCCCCCAAACTCCTCAGCACCTGCCACTAAAGTGCACCGTGGAACCAAGTCCTGTCTGAGTACACAGGACTTCAGAGGTGACTTTCAAAACACCTTTGTTGTTTCAGTTACCACTGCAGTCTGTTCCCAGCTCCCTAGATCTGCAGGTGATTCTTCTCCAGTGAGTGTTAGCAAGTGCACAGTCTCGACAAGTACAACCTCAGTGGTGGCACCATCTGCCACTGGAGTAGGGAAGACTACTACTCCTGTAAGCACTCTTTCTACAAATCCTTTGGACAGTGGTTGGACTCTTTCTTGTTCTTTGCCTTCTTCAAGTGTTAGTGCTTCAGATTTGAAAAACATTAATAGCCTTACGCGAATTTCTTCAGCTGGAAACACACAGACAACGTGGACTACTTTGCAGCTGGCAGGAAACACTATTCAGCCCTTAAGCCAGACACCATCTTCCACTGTGATTCCAGTACTAAATGAGTCTGGTCCTAGCCCCACTGCAAGCAACCACAGTAGACACATGGCTACAGGCATCAACTTAAATAATTCCCTTCCAACAGATGGGTTATCAGTTGAGCAAGTAGTTGTAACCTTGCCTTCTTGTCCATCTTTACCTATGCAGCCACTAATTGCCCAGCCACAAGTTAAATCTCAGCCACCAAAAAATATCCTTCCACTGAATTCAGCAATGCAAGTGATTCAGATGGCTCAGCCAGTTGGGTCAGCTGTTAATGCAACTCCAGCTAATCAAAATGTTATCATTCTTCAGCCCCCCAGCACTACCCCATGCCCCACAGTGGTGAGGGCAGAGGTTCCCAACCAAACAGTAGGTCAACAGATAGTCATTATCCAGGCAGCTAATCAGAACCCGTTGCCACTCCTCTCTGCTCCACCTCCTGCTTCTGTTCGACTCCCTGTCAATGGAGCCAGTGCTATAATTGGGTCTAATCATTCAGTGCAAAATATTTCAACTCCACAAACTTTTGGAGGAAAGCACCTTGTCCATATATTACCAAGACCTTCATCTTTGTCAACATCTAATTCAACACAGACTTTTTCTGTTACCATGTCAAACCAACAACAGCCTCAAACCATTTCTTTAAATGGACAGCTCTTTGCTTTGCAGCCTGTGATGTCTTCATCAGGAACTACAAATCACACCCCTATGCAAATTATTCAACCCACCACCAGCGAAGATCCAAATACCAATGTTGCCCTGAATACATTTGGTGCTTTGGCCAGCCTCAATCAAAGCATCTCACAGATGGCTGGGCAGAGCTGTGTACAACTATCTCTTAGCCAGCCTGCCAATCCTCAAATTGCTGCAAATAGTCAAACCTCCCCAACTAACTGTGTTTCATTAACAACCACTGTTGCACCTCCCATGACAACTGACAATTCAGCCATACCCCCTGGTACTTTTAATCTTGTGACTACTTCCTCAATGAACACTGTTGCTTGTTTGCCACCTACCACAAAGTCAAAAAGATTAAATAAGAAGCCAGGTGCCAAGAAACATATAGCAGCTAGCAAACCCACATGTCCTCTGAATCCAGTCAGAGAGGTGGGCAAGTCAGACTGCCCCAACATGGAAAGCTCAGCAGAGCCATCATGTACTCCTGGACTGCTGGAAAGCCTTCCTGTTGTGCTACCACCTGCCACTCTGTCCCAGGCAAATAGTGGAAGTGTTTCTGCTTCACATTCTTTGGACATGCTAAATTCGGAATCAGTAATACCTGAATCTGTATCCAAATCTAACTCAGCAGAAGAGTCTAGCTCATCCTCCCAAGAATCTGGAATAAGTGAACATTGTGCAGTAGCCCCAGCAAAATCCAAAGATTCTACCCCCATTTTGCAAAGAGAGACTTCTCAGGATAAACCACCAATTAGCTTAGCATTATCAGATGCTACCAAATCCTGTACTTCAGCCAATGTATTGATTCCATCTCCAAATCCTCAGATTTTGGTTTCTCAGGTGTCTGGTTTGTCATCCTCCACAAGGACTACAAGTACTGACTGTGTTTCTGAGGTAGAAATCATTGCTGAACCTTGCAGGATGGAGCAAGAGTCATCTGATACAATGCAAACTGCAGGTCTCTTAAAGGGGCAAGGGTTAACTACATTACTATCTGATGTTGCTAAAGAAAAAGACCCCCAGAAATTAACTCTTTCTGGCCCTATGGAGCATCCTGACTTTTCTTCAGAAAATTCTAAGATAATTGATTCAACTGTTGATTTACACCCCAAGCAGGAACTGTTACTGATGAACAACGATGATAGAGATCCACCACAGCATCAGTCCTGCCTCCCTGATCAGGAAGTTATTAATGGTTCTTTGCTCACCAGTAGGCAAGCTGACTCCCCCTCATCAACCAGCTCTGGAAGTACTCGCAGTTTTTCAGTTGCATCCATGCTTCCCGAAACAACTAGAGAAGATGTGACCAGCAGTACCTCAACTAATACATGTGACAGCTATACCTTTGCAGGGCAACCTGATATAGTAGCTCTTGCAGCAACAGTTATTTTTGGCCATCACAACATTGAGAAGGGAAGAGTTGATATTCAGGCTGATATAAGGGAAGGTACTTCAAAGCCTTCTGAAGCATCATCTTTAGAAGGAGACCAGTCTTTCAAATCACAGATCCCTAAAGAGAATGGCACAGGACAGACAGAAGCAACACCAAATGAACTTAACTCTCAGGATTCAATTGAAGTAACAGTGGACAGGCCCCTTGAAAAACCAAGTTGCTCTCTAGGAATTAAAACATCAAATGGTTCCTTACAGGTTTCAACTTCTCAGCCACCAAGCCTCACCAGTTTAAGTGTGAATAATCTCATCCATCAGAGCAGTATCAGCCATCCGTTAGTCAGCTGTGCAAGTCTGTCCCAACCTTCAGAGCAAACAACTGCTCCTGCGACAGTTAATCTGACTGTTTCCTCTAGCTCCTACAGCAGCCAGCCTCCTGGACCACCTCTGATGACAGAATATTCTCAAGACCAGCTAAGTACTATGAATAATACCATACCGAATTCACAGATTCAAGAGTCCCTCTTAAAGCCAAGTCACGAAAGCCGAAAAGATTCTGCTAAGCGCACTGTCCAAGATGACCTTTTACTGTCTTCAGCCAAACGTCAAAAGCATTGTCAACCAGTCCCCCTCAGACTTGAAAACATGTCCCTAATGAGTGGAACTCCAGACAGCATTTCTGATCAAACTCAAATGATGGTTAGTCAGCTCCCTCCCAATTCTTCAAACTCAGTTGTGCCTGTTAGCAACCCAGCACATGGAGATGGCCTTACACGATTATTTCCACCTGGTAACAACTTTGTGTCCCCTGCATTGAGGCAAGCTGAAGTTCAGTGTAGCTCTCAGCCTTCAGTTGCCGAGCAGCAGCAAACCCAGGCAAGTCAGCATCTACAAGCCCTGCAACAGCATGTTCCAGCTCAAGGTGTATCTCACCTTCACAGTAACCATCTGTACATCAAGCAGCAGCAGCAACAGCAAGCAGGGCAATTAAGAGAAAGGCATCACTTGTATCAACTGCAGCATCACGTACCTCATGCAGAGAGTGCTGTTCACTCTCAGCCCCATAATGTGCACCAACAGAGAACTCTGCAACAGGAAGTTCAGATGCAGAAAAAAAGGAATCTCGTTCAGGGCAATCAGGCCTCTCAGCTTTCCTTACAACCAAAGCATCATGGAACTGACCAAGCCAGACCCAAGAGTGGCCAGCCCCATCCCCACCATCAACAGATGCAGCAACAGATGCAGCAACACTTTGGAAGTTCCCAGCCAGAAAAGAGCTGTGAAAACCCTTCAACTAGCCGGAACCATCACAGCCATCCCCAAAACCACCTCAATCAAGATATTATGCACCAGCAGCAGGACGTTGGAAGCAGACAGCCAGGATCAGGGATTTCTTCTGAACATGTGTCTGGGCATAATCCAATGCAGAGGCTTTTGACATCAAGAGGCTTGGAGCAGCAAATGGTGTCCCAATCGAGTATTGTAACAAGACCTTCAGATATGACCTGTACTCCACACAGGCCAGAGAGAAATCGCGTTTCCAGTTATTCTGCTGAGGCACTCATTGGAAAGACATCTTCTAATTCAGAGCAGAGAATGGGTATATCAATTCAGGGTTCCAGAGTTTCAGATCAGCTTGAAATGAGAAGCTATCTTGATGTTCCCAGAAATAAAAGCTTGGCTATTCATAATATGCAGGGTCGTGTAGACCATACTGTTACCTCAGATATTCGCCTTTCTGATTGTCAGACATTTAAACCAAGTGGAGCCAGTCAACAGCCCCAGAATAATTTTGAAGTACAGTCTTCAAGAAATAATGAAATAGTTAACCCTGTATCTTCATTGAGGAGTATGCAGTCTCAGGCTTTTCGGATTAGTCAAAACACTGGCCCACCACCGATCGACCGGCAAAAGCGATTACCGTATCCACCAGTTCAGAGCATCCCAACAGGAAATGCTATCCCACCAAGGGACAGTGAAAATACATGTCACCAAAGTTTTATGCAGAGTTTGCTTGCCCCTCATCTTGGTGATCAGGTCATTGGGAGCCAGAGATCACTCCCAGAACATCAGAGGAATACACAGTGTGGTCCATCCTCTGCAATTGAATATAATTGTCCTCCAGCTCATGAAAGTGTCCATATTAGAAGAGAGAGTGAGAATCAGAATAGGGAAAGTTGTGACATGTCTTTAGGTGCAATTAACACAAGGAACAACGCCTTGAATATTCCTTTTTCAAGTTCCTCTTCCTCAGGAGATATTCAAGGTAGAAACACAAGTCCCAATGTTTCTGTACAGAAGTCCAACCCCATGAGGATTACTGACAGTCATGGGACCAAGGGCCACATGAACCCTCCTGTCACAACCAACATGCATGGGGTTGCAAGGCCAGCTTTGCCACACCCATCTGTGTCTCATGGAAATGCTGACCAAGGCCCTCCTGTACGTCAAGCTAATTCTTCAGTTCCCCAGAGATCAAGACATCCCTTGCAAGATAGCAGTGGTTCCAAAATTCGTCAACCTGAGAGGAATCGTTCTGGAAACCAAAGGCATAGTAATGTCTTTGATCCAAGTCTTCCCCATCTTCCTCTCTCTACTAGTGGCAGTATGATTCTTGGACGTCAACAGCCCACTACGGAGAAGAGAGGAAGTATTGTTCGTTTCATGCCTGATAGTCCACAAGTCCCTAATGATAATTCAGGTCCTGACCAGCATACGCTATCACAGAATTTTGGTTTTCCTTTTATTCCTGAGGGTGGTATGAATCCACCAATAAATGCTAATACTTCTTTCATTCCACAGGTTACGCAGCCCAGTGCCACTCGAACTCCAGCCCTCATTCCAGTAGATCCTCAAAATACTCTACCTTCATTCTATCCCCCATATTCTCCTGCTCATCCTACACTGTCCAATGATATTTCAATCCCTTATTTTTCTAATCAAATGTTCTCAAATCCTAGCACAGAGAAGGTTAACAGTGGAAGTTTAAATAACCGATTTGGATCAATTTTATCTCCTCCCAGACCTGTTGGCTTTGCTCAACCAAGTTTTCCTTTACTCCCTGATATGCCACCAATGCACATGACCAACTCTCACTTATCCAATTTTAATATGACATCTTTGTTTCCAGAAATAGCAACAGCTCTTCCTGATGGCTCAGCAATGTCTCCTTTGCTTACAATAGCAAACTCCTCTGCCTCTGACTCTTCCAAGCAGTCCTCGAACAGACCTGCCCACAACATAAGCCATATTTTAGGTCATGATTGCAGTTCAGCTGTTTAAATATAGATAAACTAAATGTGAAGATATTAAAGGTCTTGAGTGAGATTATAAAAGTGTGTGCATGCACACGTACATGTACGTGTACATGAAGAGAGGAATTTTGTGTGTGTTTGTATAATCAATTTTCAATTATCTTCTGAATGTAGGGATCCATGTCCATGTCTGAGATCATGCAAAATTTGTCAAAAACAAATTATGTTTTTTTTTAAGTGCATGGAGTGTTTTTTATGTTTCAAGCTTTCAAGCATATTGACATTTCCAAGTTTGATTTGTAATTTTATATTCCCTGAATATAAGTCAACTGAAAATTGGGGGACCTCACCTTGGTATGTGCTGAGTGGTAGGAAGGGACTGAGATTTTAAGCATCGTCACTGGTAATTTTTAAAATAGTTGAGTTGTTATTCAAAACATAAGCAACTTGATAAAGCCAATGGCTCATAACCAGATGATGGATGGTCAACATCTAAAAAAATTTCTCAGCTGAAACGGTGTTGAATTGATGTTAAATTAAATGTCCATACAGTCAAGCAGATAGCAGATAAATTAATTATCTAATAAGCCTTCATCCCAAAGTTTGGCTTAGGGAGAGTCTTCTTTCTTGATTCTAATTATTCATAAGTTATCTGTTCTTCAAAATAGGGAGCCACATTGTACTTTAATGTGCCAGGATCTTTAAAGCAAAAGTCTTCCCAGACAATTAGCCTTAAAAATAGAAAGGTAAAAAGTAAAGGACACAATTGTTCTCCATCACGTACTTGTATTTTGCATCAGGCCATAAGGATAAAAGCAGTTATATAGTGGAGTTTTTCATGGAGTCATTAACAATTGGTGTTTTGTCAATTGAGTTTTGATTTAGTGTTCTCTCTTCATTCATTTATTTGACTTTGAAATAAATTCTTTTCCATTAATTTAAATATTAGGACTGATCAGCAAGTCATGCATTTAGAATATTTACATTTATTTGTAAAGATACATTTGAGTCTTACTTTTAAAAATATTTCTGAACAGAGTTTTAAGCTCTCTCAGCATTTTCATTTAGTAATATTTATATTTTAAATAAGGCATTGTATATTGCATTATTATCCTTTATACAGAATTATCATAATGAGAAGGTGTATTGGTTCAATATTTTCTCTTGATGGTAAATGTGAAATGGTGCTTCAAAAAAATACAGTCTTTATATATGTCCATGTGTGTATGTGAGAGTATATATGAAAACAGACAGATTTTAAAGTATAAACTGGTCCCTACTATTCCACAATGTATACATACTTAAAAATACCATGTTGTGCACCATAAATTCATACAATTTTATTTATCAAGTAAATAAATTTGAGAAAACAATAGGTCTGCCATCTGAAAATAGGAAATTAAGACCTGCTAAAGTATAGAAAAACTTGATGCAGGTGAGGTTTTTTAATAAAAACACCCAGGAATTTAATAATAAATTTTAAAACATGCGTTGAATTTTGAGAACTAAAACAAATGAGCAAAACCCTAAGAAAACAGTTGTAAATGATATGCTGATTTTTTTAACCCTGTTAAACTATGACTTTTTGTTGTTATATTCTGCCCAAAATGGAATGAGGTGGGGAAAATGCATATAAATTGTTCTGTCTGCTCTGTTAAAAAAAAGTAAAACCTGGGACCAGCATTTATTTCCATCCTAACAAAGCCTCCTGTGGCCTGGTCAGAGCAATTACCTCCTGCATCCCTCTTCTGCAGACTGAAATGGTCACTTATGCCTCTTCACTGTTCTCACCAAACCTTACCATCTGTTTCTGCTGCCTGCTAAAGCAGTCTCCAGGAGTAAAGAAACAGCATAAACCATAGAAACCTGTATTGCCTCCGTTCAAAATGGTCTTGGGGAGAAAATAGGAGAACTTCATGAATAAGTTACTTAAATAAAAATGTATAAACACAGCAATTACACTTTTTGGAGAAAAACCACAGCAAGATCTACAACTTGTTTTTTATTTCTCTGAATTTTAAGCTTTAATATTCAATTTTTTTTTTAGTACTTGGAAGGTTCAATCTGCCAATTTTGGAGGGGGGAGTACTGGGGATTTAATGGTGTGCTTGACCACTGAGCCACATCCCCAGTCCTTTTCATTTTTTATTTTGAGACAGGGTCTCACTAAATTGCTTAGAGCCTCACTGAGTTGCTAAGGCTGGCTTTGAATTTGTGATCATCCTTACTTAGTCTCCCAAGTACCTGGGATTACAAGATTGTGCCACTTGCCTGGCTAATCTGCCAATTCAAGAAGGGCAGTTTTCTATATATTTATCTCTTCCTCCCCTCCTCCTTCTTCTCTGCCTGTCCCTCTCACACATGCCCCCACATAAAAGTGGCCATTGAGTTCTGTAGAACTAGAGGCTTCTGTATATAACTGGAGCAAAGGTAACAGGCCATGGTGAAGCTCAGTTCCCTTCCACCTCTAGATTGGGTCTTGTTACCCAGGCTAGTTCCAAATTACTGGGCTCAAGAGATCTTCCTGCCCCACCTTTGCAAGTAGCTTCTCTAGGGGCTCTCCACCACACCCAGATGAAGAGTTCAGTTTAAACGTTGCAGTTCAAAGGGCTCAAAAATCTGTTACTTTCAGTTATTTCTATTGCATTGATTGTGTTTTACTGTTCATCTATATTCAGAAATAGCATTTTCATTCCTCAGAACTTTTATTCCAAGAATATAACACTGATATTGAATGAGTCTAAGAAAGGCTTGTTGTTTGACTCTCTGCAAATATTTGGGCTCCAGCTTATATGTAACTTTAATTATCTTATGGACAAAAGCATATATATGTTAGAGATCATTTTATATATGGGATCAATTCTGAGTGTTCACACCAAAGTACTCTTATTTGATTTTAAAGCATGAGTACTTACCAGCAGTATTAAGTATTTGAATTGAGGTACATGGTTTTGAGCAGGAAATTTGTTATATAGGACTTAGTGATATCAGTATATAATCTTTTGGTACAGGAATGGCAGAAAATGCAGTCAATTTTGGCTATTGTAAATTGAAATGTTATTCTTGGCTTGCTCACATGATATACAAAGTTAAACTATTTCCACAAATAATTTTTCAACTTCTGAAAATACGCAGATGTCTGAATCATAAGTGAGAGTCATTGAATCATTTCTCTTTTAGCATTATTGATTACATAGAATCAGTTAAAGAAAATAGTTGATTCTTCTCAACATTTAATAAGTTCTATGAAGTGAAAAATTTTAGATTTTTCCTCATGTATAAACCTTGTCATTGCATTTGTTAAATATATAAATCATAGATGAAATAAATTAATTTTGGAAGTATTTATTTTTTGGAAAATACAGGTTGCTTTGGGATGTGTCATGTTTTATGCCACGTCAGGAAATTTAATTTTGTTTATTGTCAGATATTTTGGGACACAAGAATTTGCACTTTTTTTTAAGTAAGGATGAGAATTCCATAGTAATCATGATTTATAAAATTTAACATATCTAAACTGTGGGAAGGAAGGCCATATTGTTTCACAGCAACTTCTAGTCATAAGTCAAGGTTATGTTGAACTTTAAAAACTCAATGTTATTAAAGTATAAAATCATTTAAAAATTTTAAAGATAGTTCATTTATCTTGTTCTTGCCTTCTAACATCAGTCATTTCATTGAGAGGCTAAAACTTATACTACAAAAACTGTGGACATGCATTTTAATGGAAGTGATATTAAAATTTTGAGAAAGACTTATTAATGTGCATCATCTCAGCTTTCTCCTTTCTTTTCTACATAGGTACCTATGTTCTTATTATTTTATATCTGTTCCATATCAAATAGGGGACAAGGAGCCTGGTCATTTCCTTAGCAGGATAACTAACTATTCATTTGCCTTGAAACATTTATTGGTTCTATTAGATTAGTTTGTGGGAGTGAGTCATACTTCCAAATTAGTGATTCCCAATTTTTGGCTTTGGGAACCATATTCTTTCTTCCTATTCTCTTAAGTAGCAACAACAGTATTAGTTCAGAATTTGATCTAAAATATTTCAATATGTCATATGGCTCTTCCCTAGGTTTGGTGGACTTGTTGTTTTTTTTTTTTTTTTCCACGGTGGAATGAAGAAAGGGCAAAGGTGATAACAAAATGAAATAGCTTTGGGTTGATTTCCTGAGGAGCCTAGAAGTCATTGCAATTCTGTTATCTAGATAAGTGCTGCCTTTGCCTTAGGTAATGCATCTATGGTTGTGTACATCTAAAGGGCAATAGTAATAACCAATGACCAGATAAACTGGTGTGGAGTTGATCTCAGTGGTGATTTTATGATACCAATATGCAAATTAAAGGCAGAAATTAGTTTCTTCCCGATATGCCTTTTTGGCTGAATGTTACAATTTTTCCTTCCCCAGAGTTCTACATAAAAGGGTCCTTTTTGGACTTAACTATACTCTCTGCATTTCACTCTTCCTGGGTTGTTTTATCTAAAAGAGTGAAACCTAGAGAGTGTTTCTATGAGTCTGTAGGCATCACCAAACTTAGATTGAGGCAATTCAGATATACTTGGCATAAATATTGAGGACCTTGTTGGATGCAGAGTTTCTATCTCTTTCCCAATGCCTCTCTGCTAATACTGCATTTTACCTAAAACTGTGCCTCTGGTCCTTAGACCAGATATTGGAATATATCATCACCCTCTCCATGATAGAAAGGACCAGCCAGGATGGTGCAAGGTGCGTAATCAAACACCTCCTAGAAGCAAGTACAATAGATTCTCACTGTTGCCTTATCATTCTCTGAGCCATCTTCAAAGTTGATCTTGTTAAAACAAAACAAAACAAAAACTAGTTAGTAGCAAAACTCCTTTGAAACACAGAGATTATATATGGTGGTCATTTAGCATCCTTATTTCTGGATTTGCACAAACTATCAACTGTAACCTTTTTCTGGCATATGGTGGTCAATTGCTTCATAAACATGAGTTAAGTTGAAGATGTTGGGCATCATATCCACAATGGTGTTACTTTGAATGACCACATAATCTCTCACTAGAGATGTCATGAGACATAGAAAGTAATTTGATTTGTAATGTAACATGTTTTTTAAAAAGATGATCTTTATTTTTTTTTTTTTGCTTAGTTGTATGTACAGCTATACACCATACTATGCCATAGGAATTTAAAG